TGATGTCGTTAGAGTATATGACTCCCTTGGTAAAATTAAGAGAGTTGTGTAGTTGGACGTTGACGGCTATCTCGGCGAAGGCTTTCAGTTGGAATAATCTCTTTGCTTGAAGGTTGGTTTTTGTTTTAACTAGTAGAGTTCCGTTTCGGAGTTTTTTACATTTCTCTACTTCACCGCTGCAGACAAAGTCAATTTGCTTCTTGATCAAGAAGGGTGATATATTGTTTAGATCGAGATTTGGATCTGATCTAGATATGGTGATGTATTTAGGGCCAGGTGTTTCTAGGAGCTCCATGTTATTGCTATGGGTAGTTGGTGGACCCCGGTCGGGTGGGTCCTCCATCTTTCCGTTGCTACGTTTATGGATCGTAGGTTATGCTTGGCACTTGCACTTCTTGGACTTGCAGTTACCGTTTGGATTTTTATTGTTGTTTTTTATTTTTGTATGTTGGTTTGTAAGATAAGCTTTGGATTTGTAACGATGATAGAAAGGCAAGACTGTTCTCTATGAGAGTGAGTTTGTGACTGATAGCGGACAATTACTTGTCCGCATATGTTGAGAATTCCAAAAATTTGCAGAAAAAAAATTTCAAATAAAACGATCTTAAATGGTGATACTTCTCTAGCATATGAAAATTTAAATTGGTCGACCCTTAGATCATCAACCGGAATTTTTGTACTGATATAGGCCGTAGTGTCCAGAGATGAAAAGTCAATATTCAGCCGTGGAACAAATATTTGTTTCCGTTGCGACCTGCTGACGACAACCGGGAGCTACCAATCGACCGCGATCTTTTTGCGCTTAGCAAAATAGCTCAGACAGCATTGGGCTGGTGAGCTGCGACTCAAGCGAAACAAGCAGATCCGTATTCCAACGGCTGTTTTTTGGATTACTTCCGTGGCTGTTTATAAGCAATGCAATTATCACAAAAGTAGCGCAAGCCGTTCCTCATGTCAAACGCATCGCGTACCAGACCCAAATAGTCAAGGCACTTTGCATGGTAAACTTTATCGAACGGAAATCACCAACTTGGATTTCTTTAAGAAACGAACTGCCGTTATCGCGATATATTGATCCACAGTGCAGATCATGCTCCAAAAAGATAAGAAAGAGGGGAGATAGTGAGCGTAAGTTTTTGAAGCCCGAAACCCCAAAATATTGCGTGGGAGAGCGGGTGAGTGTTTAACTATAGTTAAGACTTTTCCCGCTCTACACATCGTTTGAAAGAAAAAGAAAAGCCAATATAAAATCATAGCAATAACAAAAAACGGCAATTAAAGCTCCAAAAAGATAAGAGCGAATCAAAGAGCGGTAGTGAGTAAGCGGGAGAGAGAGTGAGCGGCAGTGAGTTAGAAGAGGAGATTGGGAGCGTACGTTTTTGCTATTCGAAAACATCGAAGTTTAGAGCGTGAGTGCGGGAGAGCGGGTAACTACAGCTTAGACTCTAGGCGCCTTAAACATCGTTTAGAAGAAAATGAAAAAGGGAAATATAAAGCAATAACAACAATCATTGCACAGAGACTATAGTTTTAAACTAATTTTTTTAATTTAATAGGTTATAGGTAATTTTTCAATTGCCTTTTAACCTAATGAATAAAAAAATAAAATTTTATTAATTTAAACACAAACAATCACTACGCACTCCCCAAGCGAACGGATGTTGTTAGAAACATTACAAAGAATAAATTTATGGAAAAAGAGATTTATAAAACAACAATGGTTTATCATCAAAAAAAATGAAATTAAAAAAAAATTCAAATGTGTAGCTATTTTTCATGGCCACAATTTATTTGATTCCCTAAATGTCTTTAGCAATCTGTTTTTTTATAAAATTTGTTTAAGGATTTCCATGCTTCTTTGGAAAGGTCAAACAATTGGCAAACACATATTTGATATCCCTTTCAGGTGCAAATATCTATTAATCCATCATCCTTGAAAACCGAATCCTGAATTCTCTTTTTTCTGATTCTTTTCTTATCATTTCAAGTATCAAAATGTCAATTCTTGTTTAAAAGAGTACGCTATTTTCAGAAATAACTACATACACCTTATCTTTGCGAGAAAAGGTAGATTTCCATATTCCTAATTCTCTTAATCTGTAGAATCGTTCAAGTTTCCAAGGTTTTTTCGCGTCTTGTTCTTCGCAGAGATTTCGTATGTGGTGGTCGTGAATTTGTCTTTGCTGTCGGAATATGTTTGTATCCGGGTAAAAGTTCGTTTATAAACAAAGCCATTGCTGCCTTAGAACCATACTTTTGAAGAAATCCGCTCGAAATTGTAGGAATGCTTTCCTTAATCTGTACTAGTCGCATTTCACCTTATTAGCTGCATACGTCAAGTTCCGATTGCAACATATATTTTTGTTGCCAAACCAAACTTTTCGTTCAAAATACAATTTTTTCCGAAAAGCAAATCTTGGTTTTGTGAACCTTCTTTATGCTTGAGTTCAAATGCCCGTACGTTAAAAGACGGTATGATAAAATAAACCTACTCTTCTTTCTTTGCTTTCCCCGAGAACGATAACTTCAAGCTCTCACGAACTATCGATGGCGTGTGGATGGGATTCTTACACAAACAAAACAGTTAATTAAAGTACTTTTGTGAAGGAGACGTTTTCGTCCCCAAAAAGGGACGAGTCTCTCACCTTTAAGGCTACCAGGATAAAACCTTCCCAAGTCTTTTATTGCAGGTAGTACATATAGCTGCTATAAGAACGATCGGATAACTAATGTCAAAATAATACAAAGTCCATTATATTTCGTTTATATACGGTAGTAAATTAAAATGGAACATTATCTTTTTTATACCCTTGCAGAGGGTATTATGATTTCAGTCAGAAGTTTGCAACGCAGTGAAGGAGACGTTTCCGACCCCATAAGTATATACATTCTTGATCAGCATCACTGGACTGTCCGTCCTATTCTGCGCAAACTAGTCTCTCAGTTTTAAAGCTATCGGGCTGATACTTTCCCAAAAGTCTAATTTCTTTTGCAGGTAGTATAAAGGTCGGAACCAGCCAGATCGGGCAACTATATCTTATAGTCCCCATAGGAATAATAGGAAAAAACATTTTTTTTAATTATTTCTTTGGTGTTTTTTAACATATAAACTCCAACGCTTGAAAATAATATTTTTTAACTAGTTCTGAACTTTGGACTTAGTTTTATCAAAATCAGACGAAATCATATAGCTGCCGTAGGAACGATCGAAAAATTTGTGGGAAAATAATATGAAACAAATTATAGCTCTGGTGTTTTTTAGCATATAACCTCCTACGCCTGGAAATAACATTTTATAATAAGTTCTGAATTTCGAATTTAATTTTATCAAAATCGGACGACTGTATCATATAGCTGCCATAGGAACGATCGGAAAAATGGTGGGAAAATAATATGAAGCAAATTATAGCTTTGGTGTTTTTTGACATTTTACCTTTTACTATTGGGAATATCATTTATTGTATTTTTAAATTTAATAATTATAACTGCAAGGGTATACAGACTTCGGCTTGACGAAGTTAACTTCCTTTCTGGTTATTTCAATAATTAGTTTTGAGTTTTCCTAAAATCGGAAAGTTTTGTACATACAATGTTCCCCCGGTAACGATTTATAAAGGTGTAGAAACTTCAGCTTGGCGAAGTTAGCTTTCTTTCTTATTTCTCATGGCTTTAGTAACAAAGGCAGCAAGCTATTGCTGAATCTTCGCACCTGTATCTTTGGATACACAGATAAATTCATGAAATGATATAAGCTGGGATGTCAAATTATATGAAATTTAAATATAGCTCTATAGAGTAGTAGGCTTTGAAGTAGGCTGTGCCGCAGCATTTCATGCATTGAGGCTGAATTCATAGTCAACTTTCGTATGTTTATGCACACTCGATTTTACTCTTGTCATGAAATGATTTAATGAAATAGGCATAGAATAAACACAGTAATATAAAATTTTCAATAGTTAATTTTTATAAAAACTTTAATTTGTAGGCCATTGTCGCATTTTAATAAGGTTCAACCAGTAGTAGAAGCGGACATCACAAGTAAATTCTACTTGTAGAAGTCTATATCATTCGCGTTTTAGTTATCTTTGCATTTTAATGCAATTTATTTAAATATGTAAGTTCATCGTAAAAATCTTTAACACAAAAATATTTTACATTGTAAAAATAAATTTCATAAATATTAATACGTATAGCTGAATACAGCTAATAATTTGTGTTTTACCGTTTGACATGGTGATACAAATATTTATAATAAAGAATATTGAAAAGGGGTGGCGTTGGGATTTGAACATGCATAGCGACGCGTCGTTTTGATTTCTAACCAAACAGTCCGGTCGCTGGCAAGGTCTAAAATTTAATACTTCGGTGCCCAAGAGCATGTTTCATTTTACGGTGATGTTATTAATGTGTTAGTCTTCTAATTTGTAAAAAATTAATTTATAAATGTAAGCAATTTATGTAAGCATATTTTGCTTGTTTTTAGGGCACTTTTAATTCATGGTAATCTTTTCTTAAATTAAATATACGCTTTTTGTTTTACCCAAAAAATTTCTTGACTTAAAAAAAAATTGCTGCTCTTAGAAAAATTAAATTTAAGTGGGGGTTATTTTCACCTGTTACTCGTAGAGTAAAAGGGTATATTGTATTTGGGGAAAAGTATGTAAGAGGAAGAATTTCCGTTCCCAATAAGTACATAAAAATGTAATTTTAGGTTTTCTTTGCAAAGCCTACACAACATTCTTGTTAATTTTGGCAGTTTAAATCCAATGATATCGATACACATTTTCCAAAACAATAGACACATTAAAATTCGTATTATCTGATTTCAGGGGTGTTTCAGTTACGTTAACCTAAAAATATGTATACTATCACATAAACTAAAAAAAAGAACATATGTACTCTTAAGACATATCTTAAAAGGAGTTAACACATATGAATAAAACACAATAAAATTAAAATTGGCTTTATAATTTAACTTAAAAACTTGATTCCTCTTCCAGCAGAGCGATTATCGCTTAAGTTCGATCTCTGAACCAAACCAAAGCCAAAATGATATGAGTCCACAGCCCTGGCTCTATCATCTCTATTTGTTCGAGTAACGACTTTAAGTGGAGCTGACTTGTATTTTTCGCTGAAGGGAAAATTTTGGATCCGTGAATTCAAGGCTTGCTATAAGACTTTGCCTCGATCAGTTAGAAAGTTGGTTGGAACATTAGGATGAAGAGCGTGGGCTCAAACCCTGGGTGAGTTATTTTTTTAATGTTTTGTTTCTAAAAAGGAAATCCGGAAACATAATCAAAAATGTGGACCCCAAGAAACAATCATGCTTTCAGTTCTTGTACATCGCACTGACTTCATAGAAGTCACAAAAATCAAATTTTTAATATGCGACCAAAATTTGTAAAATACATAATTTAGAAGGAATTTTTTCGTCGTCTCTAGTCTTTGAAAGAAATTTTTAAAGGAGTAAAAAAAGATTAAACTTGTGTGTCACAGAAACTGAAGACGGTTTTAGGAACGATTAATTTTAAAACAGTATCATCACAACTTTCACCTTTTCCGAAAATAGCAGTGCTTCATGCATGTACTCAATATAGAATACCGAACTTCATATACTAAACATCGATTTTGGCATGACTTGCGTTGACTAGTTTCAATAAATATAAAATTCATTTTATATCTTGTTGCGGAACTAATAACTACTTGTATATTATACAAAAAAAAAAAAAGTTATGAACTACCTGGCCTCTAAACACACGAATCACCCCTTTCTTAGCCAGCTGATTGCGACTGCAAAAAATTAATTTATTTACATATATTATATACATATATACATATACATATACATATATCAATACATTAATCAAAAGACAAATCGCGCGATATTGTTTTGCAATATTTGCGCAGGATACTTTAAGAAGTGTACCCAATTTTTGTATTAAACAGATGGAACGGACATCGTCGACACTCTCTTTAGTGAAGAGCAAGAATATAGTGTCTTGTGGTGCTTCCCTTAAAAATTAGCAATTTATGTAATCAAAATGTGTTGATAGTAATTTTCATCAAGTTTTTCATAGCAAGTTTTTAATTACTACCAACTAGGGATGACATTGACGAGCAGTGTTCAACAACTTAAGTTGTTTAAATTGAACAGCAAGCGCGCGGCTAAGCATTCTTATAAACCACGCAACATTCCCCACCCCGTGGTTCTTCTATTACCAATCCTTATGATGTCCATTTAAGCCAGTTTGATTGCCGGGCGAATAACAAGTCCACCCGGTGTATGCACAACACCGCTACGAACTTGTTCATCATTGGCCAGGAGTTTCGTTTCCTTGTTTCATCAACAATAAGAAGCACGTCATTCACGGAGATTGGAGTTGGGTTCGGTTGAAACCATTTTGTACGTCTAGTCAGCGTGGGCAGATACTCTCGAACCTATATTTTCCAGAATCGATCTGCCAGTTGACCAGCGATGCGGAAATGTTTGGCTAAGCGTAAGCTGGTGGATTCCATCGAGTATTTGTCGTATTTCGTAGACTTCAATTTCTGCATGGAGATGGTGGTGATACTCTACTAAAAGTTATGCAATTCTGTGGTGATGTGAAAGTATAGCAGGACGCTTAACACTGACTTCTATATTTTCGATAGCGTCGATTCGACCATGCATGCGAAGCACTCCAACTGTGTCCAGGTATGGCGGGCATTTATATATAATGCTTTTCCGGTTTGTCAGGCAGCGGCCTTCTTTTAGGCATCGGATTTCGTCAAAAAATTCTTCCTCTTGTCATATCCAAATGAGCAGAAGCAATCTCACCAGCTCAGGTCCGAGCGGTTTTACAGAAAGAAGACGCTCCAATTTGTTGAAACGTAGCGGATCCGGAATAACAGATGCCAGAGGCGAAATTGGTTTGAGTTACCTCCTTGTGGTACAAAACTTGGGTCTAGTTTTCGAAATTTCATTTCTCAGTGGCCACCCCGAATCACCTTGCAACAGATAATTTAGTACTTCGATCTTATTTAACTATTTACTTCTACACTTTTTGTCCAGTTGGTCCTTCATCGGCTAAAATTAGTTGCGATGATACCCAACGCCATTCACAAACTTCGGATCCTTTAAGAATTTCTGCAACTCGTAAAGCTACAAATTGCAGGTACTTGCAAGCATCTGATTTTATCCAGAACAGAACATCTTGAGCATCAGTCCAAAATACGCGTTTTTTCATTTTATTTTGATAGCTCAGACTCCAAAGCCAGGCGCAATCCTAAAACCGCAACCATTAACATCATTTGTGGAACTGATATAGGTTCCAAAGGTGCTACTCTGGTTTTTGATGCCAATAAGAAGCAGCGGATTTCGTCACCAAGATCAACTCAAAACAAGAAAGGAAGTTAGCTTCGGCAAGCTGAAGTTTGTATACCCCTTGCAGTTATAAAAAATAATCAATGTTAGTAACATGTTAAATTTTTAAGGATTGTTGCTAGCTTCAGTGATATTTGTGTAAAATTAAATTCGTAATGCTGAAAAGTTGAAATATTCTATATCCCAGAGTTTAAGAAAATACGATAAAAATTTGTTAAAAATAATTATTTCATTAATTCTCTAACCGTTTTTTTGACAGTTATATGTTAGAGTCGTCTGATTTTTATTAAATTTAGTTCAAAATTCCTAAAAATACAAAAAATGTAACGATAGTATAAAATAATATGTCAAAAAACACCGAAGCTATTGTATAATTTGTTTTATATTATTTTCCCACCACTTTTCCGATCGTTCCTATGGCAGCTATATGATCTTCATAAAATTAAATTCGAAATTCAGAACTAATTAAAAAGTGTTATTTCCAAGTGTAGGAGTTTATATGTTAAAAAACACCAAAGATATACTTTCTTAAATTTTTTTTCCAATTACTCCTATGATCCTGATCCTGATATATATACTTTATGGGGTCGGAAACGCTTCCTTCTGCCTGTTACATACTTTCCGACGAATCTAGTACCCTTTTACTCTACAAGTAACGGGTATAATTACATAAATATATATTTAATAAATCGATCACGTGCAAGATGGGTTGCTGATATTCGCAATTCGGACCGACGGAGATTTAAAAATGGAAATTTCGGGGAAAAGCAAATTGGTTTCGTTTGGTTATAGATGACAAGTATATGTCAAGATATTGTTGCTGCCACGAATGCCCACCCTTCCACGATCACACCATCCCTAGATAAAGTGTGATCCCGATGTGAGGGTCTTAGCGCTCTATGTTAACACTGCATCTTCCGTCGTTGGCATGTCCCCTTTATCTAGTTAGGGGTCTACTCAAGCTTCATCATAAGATTCATTTATTATTGTAAAATATTAAAATCTACTGCAAACATTAGTTATCCAGGGCTTATTCCCAACCACAACCGATATTGCACAAAAGAAATAATATAAATATAAATTTATAGATATGGAAATACAAATATTTATTTAAAATAGGAAATTATGGTCATAATGGTCATATAAGAAAATAGAGAGAGGGCAAAATAAATTTAATATGTATTTTAAAAAGAAAATAACCCATGTGTATGTGAAACGTACATAACACCAGAGGGCATAGACTGTGGAAATTAAGTAGATTTTTTTGACTTTACATTTCAGAATAATTAATTTGTATGCATTCTCTATTCGCATCGAATTCGGATGAAAATTTTAAGTAGGCACTCGCCGAACTTTCCAGTCGCTCGCCATGGTCGACATGGCAAAACTCTCAATAAAACAAAATCGCAAAACTTGAGAATATTTCTTGACCCTGAATATCCTTATACACACAAGCAGTTCAAGTTTTTTCTTGTTTTAATTTTCAAGGTACAATACTTTCTATTTTTGTTGTTGTTATTAAATGAGACAATTCGGCTAATGTTAGTTTGTCTGATATTCTGGTCGAAAGTGATTTCTTTATGAATATAAGAAAAATAGATGTTATAATAAAGATAGGGTGACTCACTCTGGTGGGGCGGGTCCGTGCCAAGCAAAGAACCCAAAATTTCCCAAAAAGATAGAAGCAAAGGGTTGCTGGTTTCCTTGCTTCGGGCTTCACTTTTTATTCTTTCTTTTTATGCCAATCAAACATGAAGTAAGCTTAGTTTATAGCCCCTGTAGGGAAAGAGATCTGCTTTTAACCGGTTCGGAAACAATGACCAGTGCTGCCAACACAGTGATGTTGCACTCAGCCTTGTTCGACATAAACATTCTACCCGCCTCGCAATGGGAAAAATTGCATCTCAGGAAAGGGAGCAAGTGCCCGAGTGGAGCCACTCTAAGGCTGAGCCTTGCGCCATGGGCAATCCTTTCTGACTCGAGCGGAGACCCGGCAGAATTAACTCCGCGTAGACATCAGCTCCAAAAACTGCCGACACTAAAGAAGGGAGGAACCATCTGTCATCAGCCAAAGTGATGTCTTGAAAGCCATCTTTGACCTTCGGATCCAGGGGCTTGGCCGGAGTTCGGGTCCGCATCTGCTCATCAACCAGCATCAGCAGTTTCCGGACTATCTTCGACGCCCTTATGCGGATTTCGGTGGTGCAAACCCGTTCATCGCCTACGCGAGGGGACAGAAAGGTTGAGGACCCTTCGGCAAACGCGGCGCCTGTAACCGTTAGTTATGAGTGGCAAAGCGTGGGTGGTGGTTGGCGCCATCGTCAACAATTTGTGGGAGTGAGTTAACAAAGGATAAATTGTATGGATAATGCGTATGATCGTGACTGAGGACTATGAGGACTGACAACACAGGATGACATGAACTTAGGACTGGTAAGACTGTCTGTTAGTCGATAATTTTGAAAAAAAAAACTGATTGATAGTAGATTTAGAACAAATATATATTTTTTCCTGTTCTATTTAATTACTTACATATTTTTTAAATGCAATTTTCTTCTTCATCCAATTCAATATTATAAATATCCTCATCGTCATCAGAATCGCACTGCAGATCGTTTTCATTTTCAGCTGTAGATGGAAGGTCCAAAAGACTTAATACCTCTTTTGAGAAGGGCTTTTTATTTTTTCTGAAAGCTGTTCGCCAGGTGTTTCGGTAGCGAACTTCTGCTTGTACAAGGTGAGTTCCAAAGTAAACAGGACGGTGCCATATCAGTTGAATACGGGGAGTGGTTGATGGTTAAAATGTGATTTTTGGTCAAATAGTCGGACACAAGCGTCGATCGATGAGACGGCGCATTATCGTGCAACAAACGCCAACTT